ATGACAGCGCCAGTATGCCTGCACAACCTACGTTCAGAGGCAATGTCCATTGCTGTCCATGTCCCTTCGTACCATCCTTTCCTTTTCCTCTTGATACAAATCCTCCAGGAATCGGACAGCGTATGAGAATCATTTGATAATCCGCCATAAACAAGTGCTTGGTCCGAAGAAAGCGCATTCACTGAGCACCACGATCTACCGCTCGGCTGCACTGGCACCTCTGTTGTTTCACTAAAACAACTGAAAAATTATACAACCTTTCAAAACAAACAGTTTGAATGGTTCGTTCCTAAGAGAGGAAAAGCAACTCACACACGAGTCCAGACCAGTGAAGAAAGGTCCAACATGTACAAGTCATTCAGTCGCTCAGTTCTGCAACGACCACCAAAAACTAAAATACTCGCATATGCCGGAAGATAGGTACTGGAACATGCCGCTCGTGCTGACGGCACTGATCCTCCCACTCTGAAATAGAAGAATAGAATGAGAATAGAAGGAAGATGTATTGTGTCTTAATCATACACAACGAATGGTCCATTTAGCAAAAACAATAAAAAAATTAGTATTTCAGGGAGGACTTTCGGACTGAATGGCCTTAATTACAGTCTGATAATCGGTTTGGTATCTCGTAATATGAGCTTGAAGCATGGCCCGGAAATTGGTAAAAAGATCTGAAAAAATGGATAAGTTGCTGAAAAAAAGTGCTTGGATAAAACTAATCTTTAGCAACCACAGTTAGAAAAAAGAAAACTGATATGAACGATCTTTCATAGGAGAAAATTTTTCAGTTTCCTTTCAGTTTTCTCTAAATTAAAAAAAAAAAAGACGTTTCGGAATAATTTAAAAAAGTCGCTGGTAAAACCCATCTGCAAAGACAATTTCGACTCTTTGTATAGATGATTACTCACTCTGCAAGAGTCCATTTCGAATTCCTCGCACGATTAGGATCAAAAATCAGTAACTGATTATTCCAGGAGAATGAGCTCGTTCCATCAATCACAAATTCACCGACATTCCTGAGATACTGTTCCGGATTGGGCAGTTCTAAAGGGCTCGGTCCATAGCCTCCAAAATAATAGCACCTGAAAAAATCCCTGGTACAGAAGATTGTTCCCACTATGTTTTGTGTCTAAATGTTTAAACAATAAGATGAGAGAGTAAAGTACAACAACCCCAGGAATGCATAACAACTTTTAAAACCAGAACTCTACATCCATATCAACGCATCTCAATGATATTCGGTCTTTGGAAGTATCAAACAGAGACTTTGCACATGATTATAATAAAGTTATTAAAATAATTTCACTAATTTTACTAATTTTTTAATTCTTATTTCAGAATTTCCGCCTCGTTTCTCCCTCTTTTTTCAATATATCTTTTTATTAACACTCTTTGTACACAATGCACTGATAAATCTTTTTCTTCATATGCGCTAGTTTCGACAGTCTTACTTTACCATATTTTGTACACCGTCATAACTGTTTTAGCGGCGAAGGGATGAAAAATGGACAGTAAAAGACAGAAAATAACGGCGCGCACAGAGCCGCACTTCCTTCTCGAATGCCGTTTTAGCGGATGTGCTAAAATAAGTTTGACTTGAGAAATATGTTGTGCTGCGCAAACCTGCTTTTGTGTGTCCATCCAGTCATTTTGTCTCGTGGAGTTGGGATGAGCACATTATCAGATACAGCCAGGGACCACTGTTCTTGTTCCAGATCCAGTACATAGACTGCAGACGAATGTCCTTCCAAAACCTGATTTTCTCGTGCTGAAAATTTTCATTTCATGCAGTCACAAGGACTTTCGTATGAATAATCGAAGGCAATAAGGGGAAGGCGAGGGG